AACATTCTAATAAATTTGGATTTCTAAGGGCATCTCCAACCCACGCTAAAATGGTGCAAAAAACACCAAATTGGCATGGGTTGGCAGTCCAACCCGCGCTAAACACTGCACCAAAATGGCGCGGTACTGTAGCAAAAAAATTTATATTTTTTTTAATTTTGGTTTTTTTGTTTTTTTTTTTTTTAATTTTGTTAAGTTAATTTGAGTATTAAATTTTACACCAAAAATCACACCAAATTTGAGTACTTGTATTTAATTTAATTTGATTATTATTTATAATAATGATATAATTTAAAAAATGATGAAAAATTAAAAATAGAACTTTATTCAATGCAAATATTAAACTACAATAACTCAAAATAAAAATTAACACTAATTTAAAAATACTAAAATTAAAAGAAAATACAACATAAACTAAAATAATAATTTAGTATTCCGATAGATTAGTTCCGGATCCAGTAAGATCATCAAAATATTGAAAAAAACTTGAATAGATAACACATCTTTTTTTTTTTTTTTTGTATAATTTTATATTAGATGTAATGTTTTTCTATAATGTTTTTCTATATTAAATGTAATGTTTATTTGATTAAATAAATGCTTAATTCTATTAAATTAGTATAATTTTCAAAATAATTATTGTTTAATAAAAATATCATTCCTAATATTTAATTAATATATATAAAAATAATAAGTGAAATAGATTAATTGTTGATTATTACAATAAAAGAAAAAAAGAATATTCAAAAGAATATTCTAAGGAATATTCTTTTTGGTGCAATATTTGGTGTTGTGGGTTGGAGATAGAATAGTATTTTGCACCAAATTTTGCACCAAATTGATGCAATGGGTTGGAGATGGTCTAAGACTTATCTTTTTTTCCGTCTTTAATACTACTATGGAAGGCAATTTGGACCCACTCATCTCAATGCATGACACAGACCATTGATAATTTTAAGAAGACAAAAAGCAAATGAAGGACATTTTATTTTGATCACCGTAAGCAAAGACTTAAATCATCTTTCAGGCTATCCCCAACCATCATGACTTCATTGGGTTGAACACCCCATGTTGAACAAATATGTAGTAGCGGAGCTGGATCTGGTTTATAAGGACGAAACTCCCTGCTTAGTGCAGGAGAAAACGTTACCCGTAGCAATGACAAATAATTTAAAAGATTTATCATTACACTTGGAGCATAAATTTGGAGTAATTCAAATGATTAAATCATTTGGAATAGTAAAAGAAACCTTAAAGGTAAATGCCCCTCATACTAGGGACTGATTTGAATTTGGCTAAGGTGAGGTGTGATGAGGGTTAAAAAAAAATGAGAATCTTTGTAAGAGGAAAAATCAGGAGGATATTTCCCTCACAAGAAGTTTGCTCCTGATGAGAGAGAGAGAGAGAAACACCAGAAATAATTGTAGCTGAACAGATACATTGCTGAGCTAATAAAAGTCATTTATAAATTATAATTGTCAGTTGCAACTTAACAAAGCTCAAAATAGGGGTTCAGGGAGTGAATTTATTAAGAACCAAAATTAGATTAGTCTCTAGCTATGCTAGTCATTCATAACACAGATACTGAAAAGGGAAAGAGCATAATCTAACCATTTCTTTTTTTTTGGATAAGGTAAGTATGTATAAAAGACAAAAAAATACAAATACGAGGGGCATACCCCAAGAGGATGACTGATAACTATCAGTCAAGAACACGTGGGAAAACCCACAAAGTCATGAACAGCAAAAGAGAGCACGCAGGCTCCCCACAAAGCAAGAAGATGCCATAAAAAAAGCCACAAACCGGCATAAAGAGCACGCAGGCTCACCACAAACACAAAGCCACAAACCGGCAAAAAAGAGCACGCAGGCTCACCACAAACACAAAGTCACAAACCGACACAAAAGAGCATGCAGGTCCCTTACAAAGCTAGTCAGGAAGATGCCATATCACACGGAGCTGAGACGAGATCTCGTACTTAGGTGCTAACCATTTCTTTTAGTCTACTAAAACCTATGTTTGAATATGATACTTAAAACCTGCCATTAAGTAGTCCGCACACTCCCCACATCCAGAAATGTTTCATATGGGATGAAAATGTCAATTAGTCAGACATAGGTTTTGGTATTTCTCTAAAGATGCAAACAAACTGTCTACCACCTTGAAGTTTACTTCACAAGGTCACTTTTATGTTGGACGAAGTACAACACTTTCTGCACATTGATTGGCGACACTCAGAATGAAAACTCACTTGGAAAATTACAATTTACACAGACTAGGGTCTTCCCTCAATATTCCGACCATGGTAACCTTTTCATTAAAACACAATAAATAAATGATATCATCCAAACATTTGTATATCAATAAATTCATGTTTAATATCAAAAACTTGTACAATATCCCAGTAACAAGCTTAGAAAAAAAACTTACCCCAAACCGCTGATGAAATATATCAACTGCTTCCTTAAAATTGCGAGTTATCAATCCTCTTATGGATAAAGGAAACCAAAGAATAGTCACAACCACTACAACATGACTTCTAGTCGGCCAATTCCATTATCATAAAAGACACTACATTAACAGTACGAAAAGCCTAAGCAAAGTAAACTACACGAAGTATAAGAAGAGTCCCATAAATTCAGCAGGTACACCATGAAGTTATTGAATATACAAAATGAACTAAATATTAAAATCAAACTTGACCTTATTTTCTTTGAATCAAGAAACCCACAAAGCTGTGCTGCACCTGCACCATCATTAACCACATAACACAACCTGAATCAATAACAATATCCTTATAAACAAAAACACATCAAAATGCAGGAACAGAACAGAGACACACTTATAAGCTTCTTGCGAAACTTATATCATATTCAAATTATACAAGAATAAAATCCCAAGCATTAAAAACACATAAATCAAGCTCAACAAATTGAACGCTGTAAAACAAGCTCAATCATCAATCAAAACCAATAAAGCGTGATTAACAGAAACCAAATAGACTAAAACACTTACAATAATAATGGCAGATGAAGAACTTGAAGAAGAATAGCGGTAGACGAAGAACTTCGAAAAGAAGAGCGGCAGATGAGAACTTCAATGAAGAAGAAGAGCTGAGATGAGTAATGAAGACGAAGAAAAAGAGCGGAGATGGGGAATGAAGACGAAGAAGAAGAGCGCTATTTTTTAAAATTATTAGGGAGCCAAATCAATTTGACCTAAATCCCATTTAAAATACTCAGCGTCCACAATGGACGGGCATCCATATAACAAGGACGCCCGTCCATAAAATATGGATAGGCGTTCATAAATTTTTTTTATAATTTAACGTCTGGATGGGCATCCAAAATTCAGGGACGATTGTCCATAATATATGAATGGGCGTTCCTGAATTTTGTTTATAATTTTTTTAAACCATTAATAATGGACAGGCGTCCATTAACATATGAACGCTTGTCCATTAATTTTGTTTATAAAAATTTTATCATTTAAAGATTGGACCAGCGTCCATTATATATGGACGCCCGTCCATAACCTATGAACGGCCATCCATTATTTTTGTTTATATTGTTTTTCCTATTTACTGATGAACGGGCATCTTTTAAATGTGGACTCTCGTCCATAGTAAATGGACTCTTGTCCATATAATATGGACAGGAGTCCATCGTAAGTGAACGGTTGTCCATAGTTGATGAACGGCCGTTTACTAGCAAAATATTTGTGAATGTGAAACGTGGCTGGTGTGAGTCACGAGATACGTAATTCGGTGCACAGTTCCGGTGCCCATAGCATTATTGTTTCAGGTTTTGTAGTCATTGTCGTCAGTCTCATTCTATCATTCCTTTTATATAATTGTTTGTACATTCTGATTGATCAACTAGTATTGGAAGTGAAATTGAAGGTACTTTTCATAAGTCTTACATCAGAGAACATTAACTTTATTATGCAGCTTGACACAATTTTTTTTTTTTTTTTTTTTGAAACAGAATATGCTCACCCTGAAATTCTTTTCAGCTCTAACGGAAGTAGCGGTAAAAGATGAGACATAAAATCCCAGAATTGCTTCTCTTTTGTCACCATTATTTTCATTTGGAACCCATATTCTGGCAAATCATGTTTTCTCGACTAAGCTTTTATTAGCCCCCTGTGACCATGGGAATGGATTCATATCGCTTGTTAACCGCTCTATTAGTGGATACTTTCATTTCTAATTCCGAGACCATTATGACTACACCCTTTTACCCCCAAGTAAATCAAACTCTTTCACTGATTTTCTATTACAAATTAATTTCGCTAATTTTCTATCACAAACTTATATATGATAATTGATTGTTTTACTTGTTCATCAAATGAGAAAAATAATCAAAAGCTAATTATTATTAATACTAATTATTTGTGGTGATGAGTTTGTGAGAAAAAATCTGTTTGTGAGAGTAGATTACCCATTATACACATCATATTATTTCTGGTAATTTTACACATTAATTAATTAAACTCTACTAGAGGTCAAAGTAATGAAGAAAACAATTTTTCTAGAATAATATAAAATTTGTAATAGGAAGATGAAAGTGAACAAGATAAAGTTGGCAGTGTGAATCCAGAAAGGTACGAAGAGAAAAGGAGCCGGATCGAATTTGCGAAACGGTAACGTCAGAGCTTCGCGAACCGGAATTAATTAAACTGAGATTATCCAGAAAATATGATAAATGATGATACGATAAGTCTATTTCTGCTTACTTTCATTAAAGAGTCTCGAAGTTTGGGTACTGTGTTTATTGGATCTCTCTTCGATTTGGTGTTTGACGATTATTGATTGTCTTGTTAGTTGTTACAAAGAACAACTCAAACTGGGTTGTTTGTACTTTCTGGATATCAGGATAAGAATGTAATAAATTTTCCATAAGATGATATACTCATAATAAACTCAAACCTAATATACCAAGAGGCCTTAAAAAGTGTTGATGATTGGTAAAAAAGCATTAGAAGATCGCATAGCACAATGGAGGTATGTAATTGAGCTCAAGTTCACTGAGTTTGAAGTGAAACTGCTTAAAACTGTACCATTATCTTTTACGTTGCTAAGATGTTTAATTTATATTATGTTTATCTGGAATAGGAATTAAGAAAGATGATGCAGGATGGACGACGTGATAATTTTGAGAAGATACTCCTCGAGATTGAGACGGTTTCACTGCATTTGAATACGAAGGAAAAAGAATTAGGGAAGCGTGAGAAGCAATTGCTACATGCAGAAGCACAGAATGAAATACAGAGGACAGAACTTCATCATAACAGAAGAAGGGTAAAATACTTGTTCTTATCATATGTCTACTGAATTTATTATTGTTTGAGTTTCAAAACCAAGAAGACAAAACATCATGCATTAGTTTTAAAACTCATAATTTTCCACCTTTTTTTTAAAAAAAAAAATTTCCCTTTTATCTACATGTATTATATTGGTTACTGTTTTTTATTTATCATAATATTTGCTTTAAGAATTCATCGGACCGACTGTCTATGGCAGAGAAAGAAAATGTGCAGAAACATAATGGAGCTACGAAAGAAACTGAATGTTGAAAATGTACAGGCAGTTGAAGTAGAGCGTATGAGAGAGGCTTTACAAGTGATTAAAGACATGGCGCTGATTGTCAGGCAACTTAATCAGGCGCTTATTGTCAAAGAACGCAAAAGCAAGGTTGAATTGCTGGAAGCCCGCAGGTTTTTAATCAAAGTACGTCTTTCATCCCATTATTAAAAAAAAAATTAAAAAAAAAAAAAAAAATGTTACAGTGATTGTTTATAATCAGTCATGACTAATGAAGCTTCACTGGAATCATAAGTATGTCCTGTATATTTAGCTAGCTGCAGTGATATGATAGACGGCTTATAATTTGTGAGTAATACAGTTTTTAAATAACTATTGTTGTTGCAGAGTTTGAGAGAATGGAAATGGGGTGGTAAAATTGGAATAAAGAAAATGGGAGGGCTTAACATCAAACCATTCCGTAAAGCAATGAAGAGAAAATTTCCAGATGAAGGGGAGGAGAAAGCAGTAGAGCTGTGGTCATTCTGGGAGAGTTATTGTGGAGATTCAAGTTGTCATCCTATTAAAATAATCGCAGATAATAAAGGATTGTGTAAGGTAAACTTTTTATCTATTATTCAATTTCTATTAAGCTATCCAATTAACCGTTGAGTATCTTAATATTGTGCTTAAATGGTGGCATTAATTCTGCAGAAAATAGTTGATCTAGAGGATGCCACATTTAAACATTTGAAGGAGGAGTATGGTGAAGAGGCTTTTAACGAAGTGGCAATAGCCTTGAGTGAGATGGAATACTACAGGCAAAGTGGTGGATACACAAAACTTGAGCTGTGGAATTTCAGGGAGAATAGGAAAGCAACATTGAAAGAGGCAATATTTCGTATATTGAAGAAATGGAAAAAGGATAAAAATAAGACAAAATGAAGCTACTACTTTATTCTCAATTGTTACATGAGGAACAGTGCTTAGCATATGCTGATATTCATCCTAGTTTTAATGCATATATTACTCCAAATTTAAAACATTTGAATAGTAGAAAAACGTATCTGTTTGGAACCTCAGAATTTTCCATTTTGTAAATTCGATTGTAATTTATACTGGGTTTGGAGAAAGTTTTAATGGGTTTCAAATGACACAAATCTTCAACGAATCCATGACACCATAACATTTATGGACCTTGCCCGGATAAAATGAACATGGGCCTTTTGTATTCTCATTTCAAGGTTCCTGTAACCTTTTTTTTTTTTTTTTTTTTTTTTTAAGCGCCAATATTCCGAAAACCGGACCAGACTATGACCTGTTGGATCGGTCGGTTGGACTGTATTTTATAAAATTATATTTAGTCCTTAAAGGTTTGAAATTCATCAAAAACACCCCTACAATACTCCCTCAAGGTTTGAAATCTGTCTAAAACACCCCTATCACGCGAAGAGACTGGTGAGTGCTGGCGATAGTGACGATCGACGGCCAATCGAAGTTAGAACCATGGGGCTTTTGATGTATAGATGCCGACGAATCTGATGGTGGTGCTAGGGAGTTCCATCGGCGTCAAAACTCGTCGGAATCAACAAAAGAAATTCGACGGTCACGTAAACTTTAGGTGGATGGCGAGCGACGAAGGCTGGACGACGGCCACTGAAAATGGATGGGTTTGGTCGTGGAGATACCGTCACATCGAATGACGGTGTTTTCTTCGTTGAACGATGCCGGAATCTGGCGAGATTGAGCGACGATTGGACCGTGACTCGGCAGTATTCCGGCTTTCCAACCGCGGCTCAATCCGGTTTAACGGTAAATGCCCATTTTTATGAGATACCGGACTGGAAATACTGTCGGCTCCTAGGTCGGACCGGTCCGGTTCAGTTTTCAGAACATTGGTTTACGTATCTCAATTAATCTCTTAGGATCGTGAAATGAGCAGTCGGATAAATCCTCTCAATGATCATCCGTATTAATGTTTAAGGAGATTGGAATTCAAAAACTCATGTTGGATCCTTTTATTCTTTTACTATTAGGTCACCTAGTGGTGGCTTTCTGTAACCTTTTGGTAAAGAAGAAGAATTAGCATACTATGAATAGACACACATCACGAGGAATCATGAATCTCTGTTCTGCTTGTGGATGAAATGTGAAAAGAGGAAATTTACGTAAAGGTATCCAAAGCCTTAGAAACCCTTTAGCTTTTACCAGCTTTGTCTTTTGAGGAAGTTGGAATCCAAAGATATTTGGTCTCATAAATTCAACAAAACCACTTACTATATCCACATGCATTAACAATCCCCCCTAGCCCCCCGTCCCCACCGCCCATGTGCTTCTTCTTCCCATGTCTCTTTCCTCACCATTTTTCTCGCTTTTATTTCTTCATGCTTTGGTTCTCCAAAACTTATCTTAAAATTTCCATGTTTTCAAAGACACAAATAGCTAGCTGGCCTTCAGTAGTAAATACTAAACGACATTATCATCTACTAATTCTAAATGCAAAACTTGCGTTATTCAAAGGGCATTGTGTTTTGGTCCAAACTTCATTGAGGTCAATTCTCCTGTCATCGTGTAAACAGAGTCAAGTCGCCTTCAAATTACTTGGATTGGTCAATGTAAAGGAAACGAAACATCTCAGAATGTTCATTGAAGTTTCCCAGTAAATAAAGTATTGGAAGTTCAAGGTTGAGCTATTTTCCTTTGGTTTTGGAGAGAATCTTAAAGATATTGTAGTACTATCTTGTTCGATTAGCGGAGAGACCTTCATGAAGGATAAGTCCAAAACTGTCCATTACATGAACTTGGTACAGGGATCATTCATGGAAGCTATAGCTTAATTGACGTTTTGCAATGAAATTCAAAAGGGAAACTTCTCTACCAGGTGTTGAGAAGTCAGTATTGTCAATTAACTTGTCTTTTGATCATTTGTTTTTATATTAAGGTTGTAACGTATGCACCCAAGTACATGTTGATTCTTTTACCAATTATATAAATACAATTTTGTTTGGTCAAGAATTTATTCTCTTGTAATATTATATACAAGTGAACTACTTTTGGGTGGTTGAATGATTCAATAGAAACTTTTGAATGTATTATTCAAAAAGTTATGAGTTTGAATCCCTTTTTGGTTCTAAAAAATTAGTTGAAATGCGGATAAATTGGCACACACCCCCGCTCCCTCAATATACTGCCATTTCGAAAACAGTAAATTGAATCCAATTTTGGTTGAGTAAGAACACTTATTTATATTTATATTGATGGATGGATGAGTTTGGATTGGATCTGAAACAACTGTAGAGATTAAACAAACCAAACTATATAAGTTACCACATTAATAAACTTCTCATATATATATATACCAACATCATGATCATAATACACTTAAAATTCATATAACACTAGGAATATATATAAAACTAAGGCTGCGGGCCACATCTTTAGTGCAGTCACTTCAGCTTTCCTAAATTTACTTTTCCTCTCTCTCTCTCCCCCATTCACTACTCACTCAAACATAGAACAAACCCATTGGGTCACTGACCCACCAATCAATAAAGTCATAAATCAAAATTCAAAAAAAAAAAAAAAAAAGGTTTCAACAAAGTTTACTCTTTACCCTACCGAATTCCCTTCCAATTTCCCTCCAACCTTTCACATTTTTCCACATCCATAAGTCAAATATAATATTAAAAAGAAAAAATAATAATAATTATCTGAAAAAATTGGCGGCATGAAGGGTATACTTGGAAGAAAAAAACATGGCGGGGAAAGATTAATTAGTTCAAACACTTTTTTTTTTTTTTTTTTTTAAGTTTTTTAAGTTTGTTAATCAAACTCTGAAGTTCTTTCCGACGAATGTTTGACCGAACTGCCAGTTGGCCGGAGCGATGTTCCATGAAGTGGAGCTGCGTCTGTCACTTGCCTTAACTCTGAAGGAAAGTGGTTGACCGACCAAAACGGCGTTTGACTGCCAGTTTTGACCCCAGTTACGGCTCATGCTCATCCACCCGGTCCTTGTTCCTTTAACGCTCACCTTCACGATGTCTCCTGCTCCCGCCACGTTACTGACCAAAACCAAGTTGAAATAACGGAAACCGTTGATTGTGAACCTGATGCCTCCCCTCTTGCGGCATGGCACGCTGCGAAAATAAAAGAAAAACATCAGGGGCAGTTTAGTCATATATGAAAAAAAAAAAAAAGAGTAATTTTAGCATGAAACGAGGAGCGTGATTTGGGTCTGTTGGGTCTAGTGTTTGACCATGTCTGACACAAAACAACACAACGACATCCGTGTGGAAATATGTGTCGTCCGATTTTCACTCTACCGGAAAAAAGTATAAGTACGGACGGTTCAGATCTTCCCAGTAATAAACACATTATGGTCAAATGCAATTAAAGTTGAGTTAGGTGACACGTTTATGTATAAAAGCAAGTATAAAATGGGCAATTTGAAAATGAAACCTTTTTTTTTTTTTCCTATCCACGTTCTTTTAATTGGCCATTTTGTGGAGGAAAAATGAAAAAAACAAAGACGGGGGATAATGTGTTCGTTGAGAACGAAAGACAGAGAACATCAGAGTAAAAACAAACCACCGAAAGTGACCATAAACGGTCCACTGAATTCAACATTATTCAAGCTCCACTAACATACAGTTGCTCTAATTAACCCTATCAATGTAGCAAGAGAAAGTTTTTTTTTTTTTTTTTCACAATAAAATTTAAGACCAGTCGTATAAATATATTTAAAGATCATTTTGGTTCATTACGGATTTGATTTATAAAGAAAGAAAGTTAGAAACCCAGATAGGATCGACAGAAGATAAACAAAAGTCATAAAGGTCCTGCTCAGAATCCGAAGTCCGAACCACATTAACAGATCCGGACCCACCCACATGCATTAAAACCACAGAAACACAGTAGCATAGAGATATAATTACTTTTTTTTTTTTTTTCAACTAAAACTTTACCATGGCTATAAAATTACACAAAACAAGCAAAACAGAGAGAGAGGAGGCAGAGCGCTTACCGCGGAATGAAACTGGGACAATACCAGCACGGTACTCAGCAATCTTGAGAAACATAGGCATTCGAGGTCAAAATGTGGGCGAGGAGGTTCACCACCCGCCATTGTCGCTGGTAGGCGTAGTGTGTGGGCAAAAGTTTGTAGCGTAATGAAAATGGAAGGACTGCCTGAGTGACACCATGTTGGGTCACTTGCACACTTGATTTCAAAGCATGCACCGCAACTGAACCCATTGTTAAAAAGTGCTGTGCTTAGTGCCGCTGTGTTCACGCCGTAGCCTTGGCTGTATATACCATACCCACATGCTCCTCCTGCAGTAAAAAATTAAAGTTTAGTCAGAACTATACTCAAAAAACCTAAACTTAACGTTAAGGAGCTGTTAGTCTGCATTGTATGTTATAAACTTAACATACCCATGGTGCCTGAGCATCGGAACCACCGTAAAAGGTAGCTGGGCACCTTGCCATGCGCCGCCGGTGTAAACTCCAGGGATTCTTGCTTCAGCCATCCCCATTAAGTACGTAAAAGACAGAATCAAGCCACCACTCAAACGCAACATTGCCATTATTTTCTTAGAAAACAAACACAATGAGAGAAGTTGGAAGGGAAAGAGATAAAAAGGACCAAAGAGTGAAGGGGATGGATGAGGAGTTAAAGGAGGAGGGAGTTGAGTTCTTATTTATGAGAGGCTCGGTAGCGCCACAGGGGTATTGTTTGTAATTTTTCAAACCATTGTTGTTGTTATCGGTGTTGAACCGGAAGTTTTTTTCTGTTACATCCACTCGCTTGCTATTGCCATGTGCATCTCACCCTCGTTTTTTATTGGTTATGGTTTCACATGATTTGTTACACGTTAACTGCTAGAAAGCAAGATTTAGTGCTCGCACAAAGCCAATCCAAAGATATTCATAACGCTCATCGCTTTATTTTCATTTGACATTAATATCCCTAAAGATACGTGTAGCTCATGCTGAGGTTTACTATACATCACCAAAAAAAGGATAGGGCAATTTAGGAAACGTAAATTATAAAACAAAGAGTACAGGTAGTACTAATCACTGTGGATTACATTGAAAAGGACTTTAAAAATTGGCCCTTCGCCAGTTGGCCCCTTGCCATTGGTTATGGTTAAAGGACACCTTTACGCGTGAAATGTGAATTCTTAAATTTATTTTTTATAATAAAATAATAAGTGTGTTATAAAATAGATATACAATTTAATAATATGTTTATCTTAAAATTTCTTAATTATTTAAATGATTTTTCTCACATTTTATCGAAAAGAAAAAAAAAAAATATTTTTGATTGGATTATTATGATTAGAGCGGAGGTGTAAATGTTAGAAATGAATAATGGAAAAAAAACAAAAAAGGGTTAGCGTAAAGCAGAAGCGGAGGCGTGACGGGCGGTTGGGATGTAAGGACAGGTGGGTCCATAAGATTTGATGAGGGTATGAGCAGGATCAAGCTAAACCCCACTAAGGGGCATCTAAATCCAACTACATGGGAGATTCCAGTTTTTAGCATCCAACGTGAATGATAGACCCACGTAAATCCCGTAATCATCGGCCCATATAAACCGCTAAGCTTTAACTGTAAGTGGGTACACCCAATCTCGAGCCACACGCGCACACCTGATTTTTTCCTCTCACGCCAGTCGTTTTTGTTATTACCATTATGCATTGCATTTCATGTTCTAAGTTGTGTCATTTCATTAGCTCTTTTTATACATGAACCTTTCACTTTTGATTATTCAGTTGAAGCCTTAATCCATTTTTTATATTAATTTTTTTTTTTTCAACTTCGACGGAAAGTTAAACAGTTAGGTATAGCAAAAGCTATTGAATCAAAGCATTCAATCTTTGAATAACACTTTAATTTATTAATTAATTATCTAAAATCAGCCTTATTTTATAAATATTTAAACTTGGGAAATGCTAATTAGAAGCAAGATTATATTAATTAAAATGATTATTACAAGCAAATTAGGTGAAAAAAAAAAAAAAATCGAAGGCAGAGGCAGGCAGCTTGCATGAATGCACCGCCTTTGGTGCGGTGTCACGTCCAAGGATCGGACTCTCACTCAACCAGTCGTGGTCCAACCGACCATATTATATATTTGAGAATTTGATTTAATTGACCTCTCTAAGCACAAAAATTAAATTAATCTTAGGTAAGTTATTGGAATTATAATCTATCTGGTGACCGAATAAGAAATAAACACGTGGGCCAATGGAATCGCTCCCATAATGTCGGTGCATGGAGAAAGATTTGATTACAGGACCAGCATGGAAATGGTGATGATTACTTGTGATTAGACATGTGTTTGCTAATCATTTTAACTTTGCTTCATATTTTCTCAAGTCAAAAGCTATTAAATTACTTTAAATAAATAAATAAAGTAAATTGATCGCAATGCTGTAAACTGATTTGAACACGGTAGTTATTAAGAAATAAAAAATATTATGTATAATAAGACCTGCATCATATAATTAACAAGTATAATTATGGGTGGTCAATATGGGTTATATTAACTTGATTGAAATAGATTAAGGTTAAATCTGATTTCTTTAAAGCTTTATGGATGTAGACGTTTAATCTTTTCCGTGAAGCATAATAATCATATTGGATTGTCTTACGTAATATGAATCGAGATTGGTTCAATTTATCTATCTTATATGTTGATATAAGTATACTTTTTCGAAGTTTTCTACTTGGACATTTATCCAATCAACTACTTATCTTTGTCTAATACATATATCCCTTTGTTTTTATTCTAATGAAATGATACCCAATACTTTGGTTTTGGATGTTTGTATTTGTAATTTGGAATCTAAAAGAAATGCCAAGTTATTTAACATGATTTGTTATTTGACAAAGAGCTCCAGGTATATAGAATTTTAAAGTTATATACTGCTTTGGTATAACTTTTGACTAGTGAAATTATAATACTAAACAATTATCATAGTAGGCAGTTCAAATTTGATTTGTTAAATCTTTTAGGTCGCCTACAATTTCCTAAATCAAATCTCTATCAAATTACAATCTTTTTAATACGAATAACAAAAACCCTATACTGGTCAATATATATCAGTTTATACTCTTAAAGTTAGATGTTGATTAAAGTTATTTCTGGGTAATTAGGTGGTCACCTGGGACTCTTGAGTGTATTATTCAAGAGATTTGAGTTGGTTTCCCCAATACATAAGGATGATCACTGGAAGGTTTACCTGATTGTTAATTTAGGGCCTGGGAGATTAGTCGAGACACATGCAAACTAGCCTGAATATTCAAAAAAAAAAAAAAAAAAAAAAAAATTACTCTTATTAACTTTGAAGCAATAAAGACTATGATATATTTATGATCACATGTAATAAAGTATGGGAAAAGAAGACAAATGCGTCACGAAGGGCAACATTCAACAAAGAAATTATATAATGGAAATTATTACTACAAATTGGGTCAATGATGAAATCCCTAAATAACAAGACAATATTTTTAGGTAGGGTTATTTATTGCTTCCCCTTTTGCTCTAGCTGACTTTGATTTTTCTATAACTTTATGGATGACTTTGAATATAAAAATAGATTAATTTCATAATTATGAAGTTCCCATTCCTCACAACCATATTAAAAATGCACATGGAATTTGAACATTCTTTGCTGCAATAATTGTTTAAAGTCTTGGTCGTGTTATCTGTGCCGCCAGTTTTGGCACGATCATTGGAATAAGGCAGCTGCCCCTGGTCTTCGTCACTCACTTAATTTATTACACTAGCAACTCCCATTATGAATACATTAAAATGGCCATGCCATCTTACTCAAATCCCCTTTGTATAAAACCTTTTAAATCACTTTAGCTGTTCATTTCTTTTACCAATCGTCAACTCTATCTCTTTACTGTTTACAGGGTCAAGGTTAGGAATATATGACCGAATCCAAGTATTTCTACGTAAATAAACATGAAATGAATGCAATAATGTAGTTTGAATTGGAGTCAAAGTGTGGTTAGAGGATAGAGTTGAAATGTTTGAAAGGGTTAGGATAAAGCTGGCGAGCAAGCACCTGCAGGTGGGTGAGAAAGATAACATAAGCCGATAAGTGTAAGCATGTGGGAAGCACAGAAAACTTAACAAAAATTTGTCCCCACCATTCTTATCTATGACTAGTCTTCTCCATGTCATGTTCTAATAAATTTTTTGATGCATCATCTGATTAGTTTATCAAACTTGGAGAAATATATATGACCCATCTTGGGTTAGAATCTTATCTAAAGATTTCGAGTTAAAAGTATGAGAATATATGCATGGTGTATTAATGAAGGAGAATAGGAGAGATTATGGGTTTGTTAAGGTGTTGGGTTACAAATGCCTATCTGAGTTACTGATTTTGTGGAACAAAAGTCTTACACTTTGGAATAAATGGACAGGGACATTCATGGAGCTTTAAAGCCTTAGTTTGACTAAAGTAAAGAGGGGGAGACAAGGTTGTCAGCTTAGTGGATAATTGATTGCTGAAATCTGGAACATCAACTCCATAGTGGAAACTAGCCAAAAAGATGCCTGCTATTTCCCACTACACATATTTTGAAACACTTATTATATTCGCCAGTTCATGTGCACAGAAGAGGAAAATTTCTATGCAAATTGTACAGTCAAAACAGTGAGCTCAGCTAGCCGGCAGCAATAGCATCGGGAAACATTGCCTTACATCAATGGTAGAATACTATTTATGGTTATGTTTGGTTTAGTATTTTTATATATATTTTGGATCCTATTCTTTTAGTAGAATACTTTTTACGACTATGTTTGGCTTTGTATTTTTATCCATATTCTGTATCCTATTCTCCAAATAATGTTTGGCACATTATTTCAGAAATATTACCCTATTTTTTTAATTACTTTTAGACCCCATAAGGTTATTAATTTCACTAAATATCCCCTGAAAAAAAAGTTTAAAAATTAACAAAAACACCCTCATCAACCCAGCTTGTCAGATTCTGGCAACCACCGTCGGTGATAGTCAGAATCTGTACAACGGCCTAATTTCCGATCAGAAATGGCCGGAAGTTCACCAATGCGGTATTTTCCAGCCAGATCCACCACGAATCTGGCCGAAAAAGGCCAGATCTGGCCTTCAGTGACGGCCAAAGAAATGGCCGTCGTTGACCGAAAACGGCCGTCGACGTCTATAACAAACCGTAGATATGGCCTTTTTCGACCATATCCACCATGGATCTGGTCGGAAAAGGTCATAACGACGTGTTACAACACAGATCCGACCGGTCTGTGCCGTAACAAAATTTTTCGGCCAGATTCCGGCGGTGGTGACTGGAATCTGACACTTAGGTGGTGGGGGTGTTTTTGTCATTTTATCTGTTAGGGTCTTTAATTAAATTAGTAAACCTAAGGGTTTTTTTACAAATTTTTAAAATTTACCTCGTAATACTCCCCTATCCAATAACNAAGATCATTTTGGTTCATTACGGATTTGATTTATAAAGAAAGAAAGTTAGAAACCCAGATAGGATCTGACAGAAGGTAAACAAAAGTCATAAAGGTCTGCTTCAGAATCCGAAGTCCGAACCACATTTAACAGATCCGGACCCACCAGCACATGCATTAAAAGCCACAGAAACACAGTAGCATAGAGATATAATTACTTTTTTTTTTTTTTTTCAACTAAAACATTTACCATGGCTATAAAATTACACAAAAACAGAGCAAAACAGAGAGAGAGGAGGCAGAGCGCTTACCGGCGGAATGAAACTGGGACAATACCAGCACGGTACTCGGCAATCTTGAGAAACATAGGCATTGCGAGGTCAAAATGTGGGCGAGGAGGGTTGCACCACCCGCCATTGTCGCTTGGTTGAGCGAAGTTTGGTGGGCAAAAGTTTGTAGCGGTAATGAAAATGGAAGGACTGCCTGAGTGACACCATGTTGGGTCACTTGCACACTTGATTTCAAAGCATGCACCGCAACTGAACCCATTGTTAAAAAGTGCTGTGCTTAGTGCCGCTGTGTTCACGCCGTAGCCTTGGCTGTATAAATTACCATACCCACATGCTCCTCCTGCAGTAAAAAATTAAAGTTTAGTCAGAACTAGTACTCAAAAAACCTAAACTTAACGTTAATGAGCTGTTAGTCTGCATTGTATGTTATAAATTTAACATACCCATGGTGCCTGAAGCATCGGAACCACCGTAAAAGGTAGCATGGGCACCTTGCCATGCGCCGCCGGTGTAAACTCCAGGGATTCTTGCTTCAGCCATCCACATTAAGTACGTAAAAGACAGAATGCAAGCCACACTCAAACGCAACATTGCCATTATTTTCTTAGAAAACAAACACAATGAGAGAGAGTTGGAAGGGAAAGAGATAAAAAGGACCAAAGGAGTGAATGGGGATGGATGAGGAGTTAAAGGAGGAGGGAGGTTGAGTTCTTATTTATGGAGAGGCTCGGTAGCGCCACAGGGGTATTGTTTGTAATTTTTCAAACCAGTCCATGATTATTGTTGTTGATTATCGGGTGTGAACCGGAAGTTTTTTTCTGTTACATCCACTCGCTTGCTATTGCCATGTGCATCTCACCCTCGTTTTTTATTGGTTATGGTTTCACATGATTTGTTATACGTTAACTGCTAGAAAGCAAGATTTAGTGCTCGCACAAAGCCAATCCAATAGGAATATTCATAACGCTCATCGCTTTATTTTCATTTGACATTAATGTCCCTAAAGAAGTAAAGATACAGTACAGCTCATGCTGAGATTTACTATACATCACAAAAAATAAAGGATGAAGGGCAATTTAGGAAAAGTAAATTATAAAACAAAGAGTACAGGTTAGTACTAATCACTGTGGAATTACATTGAAAAGGACTTTAAGAAATTGGCCCTTCGCCAGTTGGCCCCTTGCCATTGGTTATGGTTAAAGGACAACCTTTACGCGTGAAATGTGAATTCTTAAATTTAATTTTTTATAAATTAAAATAATAAGTGTGTTATAAAATAGATATACATATTTAATAATATGTTTATCTTAAAATTTTCTTAATTATTTAAATGATTTTTCTCACATTTTATCGAAAAGAAAAAAATAAAAATATTTTTGATTGGATTAATTATGATTAGAGCGGAGGTGTAAATGGTTAGAAATGAATAAATGGAAAAAAAACAAAAAAAGGGTTAGCGTAAAGCAGAAGCGGAGGCGTGACGGGCGGTTGGGATGTAAGGACAGGTGGGTCCATATAAAGATTTGATGAAGGGGTATGAGCAGGATACAAGCTAAACCCCACTAAGGGGCATCTAAAATCCAACTACATGGAGATTCAAGTTTTTAGCATCCAACGTGAATGGTAGGACCCACGTAAATCCCCGTAATCATCGGCCCATATAAACCGCTAAGCTTTAACTATAAGTGGGGTACACCCAATCTCGAGCCACACGCGCACACCTGATTTTTTACTCTCCACGCCAGTCTTTTTGTTATTTACCATTATGCATTGCATGTTCATGTTCTAAGTTCTGTCATTTCATTAGCTCTTTTTAATACATGAACCTTTCACTTTTGATTATTCAGTTGAAGCCTTAATCCAATTTTTATTATTAATTTTTTTTTTTCAACTTCGACGGAAAGTTAAACAAGTTAGGTATAAGCGAAAGTTACTTGAATCAAAGCATTTCAATCTTTGAATTAAACACTTTAATTTATTAATTAATTATCTGAAAATCAACCTTAATTTTATTAAATATTTAAACTTGGGAAATGCCAGTTAGAAGCAAGATTTATATTAATTTAAAATGATTAATTACAAGGAAGAGGCAGAGGCAGAGGCAGCTTGCATGAAATGGACCGCCTGCTGGTGCGGTGGTCACGTCCAAGGATCGGACTCTCACTCAACCACTCGTGGTCCAACCGACCATATTATATAATTATGAGAATTTTGATTTAATTGACCTCTCTAAACACAAAAATTAAATTAAATCATTTAAGGTAAGTTATTGGAATTATAATCTATCTGGTGACCGAATAAGAAATAAACACGTGGGCCAATGGAATGACTCCACATAAATGTGCGGTGCATGGAGAAAGTTTGATTACAGAGACCAGCATGGAAATGGGTGATGATTACTTGTGATTAGAGCATGTGTTTGCTAATCATTTTAACTTTGCTTCATATTTTCTCAAGTCAAAAGCTATTAAATTACTTCAAATAAATAAAAGTAAATGTGTATGGACGTTTGATTCTGAATTAGCACAAAAATAATACCATTATCTATGATTTATCTGAAAAGTTTTGATCTAATCGAAATTTGATCTAATCAAAATATTAACATATAATAAGACTTGTATCATAATAAGTATAATATATGCGTGGTCACAGTGGGTCATAATTAACTTGATTGACATGGATTAAGGTTAAATTTGATTTTTTTAAAGTTTAATCTTTCCCGTGAAGCATAATTAATCATATTGGATTTTCTTACGTAATATGAATCGAGATTGGTTCAATTTATCTTATCTTTATATGTTGAATATAAGTATACTTTTTTCGAATGTTTCTACTTGGACATTTATCCAAATCAATTACTTATCTTTGTCTAATACATATTTCCCTTTGTTTTTATTCTAATGAAAATGATACCCAATAACTTTGGTTTTGGATGTTTGTATTTGTAATTTGGAATCTAAAAGATAATGCCAAGTTATTTAACATGATTTGTTATTTGACAAAGAGCTCCAGGTATATAGAATTTTAAAAGTTATATACTGCTTTGGTAATCAACTTTTGACTAGTGAAATTATAATACTAAACAATTATCATAGTAGAGCAGTTCAAATTTGATTTGTTAAATCTTTTAGGTCGCCTACAATTTCCATCAAATCAATTCTCTATCAAATTACAAAGGATGGTACCATATATATATATATATATATATATATATATACACACGAATAACAAAAGCCCTATAGTCTGGTCAATATATATCAGTTTATACTCTTAAAGCGATTAGATGTTGATTAAAGTTATTTCTGGGTAATTAGGTAGTCAACTGGGACTCTTGAGTGCATTACTCAAGAGGTCTTGAGTTCGATTTCTCCAATTATTAATAAGGATGATTATTGGAAGGTTTATCAGGTTGTTAATTTCAGGGCCGTGGGAGATTAGTCGAGGCATATGCAAACTAGCTTGAACACTCGATCATAAAAAAAAAAGAAAAAAAAAAAAATTACCCTTATTAACTTTGAAGCGATAAAGACTATGACATATTTATGATCACATGTAATAAAGTATGGAGAGAAAGAAGAACAAATGGGTCACTGAAGGGCAACATTCAACAAAGAAATTATTATAATGGAAAATATAATTACTAGCAAATTGGGTCAAATGATGAAATGCCCTAAATAACAAGACAATATTTTTAGGTAGGGTTATTTATAGTAGTTGTTTCCCCTTTTGTTCTTGCTGACTTTGATTTTTCTATAACTTTATGGTAGATGACTTTGAATATAAAAATGAGATTAATTTCATAATTATGAAGTTCCCATTTCATCAACAACCATATTAAAAGAATGCACATGGAATTTGAACATTCTTTGCTGCAATTAATTGTTCAAAGTCTTGGTCGTGTTATCAGGTGCCGCCAGTTTTGGCACGATCATTGGAATCGAAGGCAGCTGCCCCTGGTCTTCAGTCACTCACTTAATTTATTACAACTAGCAACTCCCATTATGAATACATTAAAAATGGCCATGGCCATCTTACTCAAATCCCCTTTGTATAAAAACCTTTTAAATCACTTTAACATGTTCATTTCTTTTACCATTATCGTCAATTCTTATATCTTTACTGTTTACAGTATCAAGGTTAGGAATATATTAACCAAATCCAAGTATTTCTACGTAAATAAACATGAAATGAATGTAATAATGTAGTTTGAATTGGAGTCAAAGTGTGGTTAGAGGATAGAGTTGAAACTGTTTGAAAGGGGTTGAGGATAAAGCTGGCGAGCAAGCACCTGCATGTGGGAAGCACAGAAAACTTAACAAAAATTTGTCCCCACCATTCTTATCTATGACTATTCTTCTCCATGTCATGTTCTAATAAATTTTTTGATGCATCATCTGATTAGTTTGTCAAACTTGGAGAAATATATATGAACCATCTTCGGTTAGAATCTTATCTAAAGATTTGGAGTTAAAAGTATGAGAATATATGCATGGTGTATTAATGAAGGAGAATAGGAGAGATTACGGGTTTGTTAAGGTGTTGGGTTACAAATGCCTATCTGAGTTACTGATTTTGTGGAACAAAAGTCTTACACTTTGGAATAAATGGACAGGGACATTCATGGAGCTTTAAAGCCTTAGTTTGACTAAAGTAAAGAGGGGGAGACAAGGTTGTCAGCTTAGTGGATAATTGATTGCTGAAATCTGGAACATCAACTCCATAGTGGAAACTAGCCAAAAAGATGCCTGCTATTTCCCACTACACATATTTTTAAACACTTATTATATTCGCCATTTCATATGCACAGAAGAGGAAAATTTCTATGCAAACTGTACAGTCAAAACAGTGAGCTCAGCTAGCTGGCAATAGCATCGGGAAACATTGCCTTACATCAATAGTAGAATACTGTTTATAGCATTTTCTGGAGAATTATCTATTTGACATACAAGTTTGAGTCTTGAGATCAATCATTCTGACACAAGCATGCTGAAATATATACTAATAAATCATCTCTAATTAGCTTCTCAGGATTTTGTTCAGATAACATATATGCGTGTCCTCTGGCTTGATTCATGCCAACATAAAATGATTGAATGGACACAAAACCTGAGCCTCAACATCAATTTCTTTTAAGTGAACATGTTAAAGACTTAAACAGATATGCAATTAACATCTATATATATATATATATAGACAAAGATGAAGGAAACAAAAGCAAACTGTTAATGAAATTAGTAATTCAATTATATATATATATATATATAGACAAAGATGAAGGAAACAAAAGCAAACTGTTAATGAAATTAGTAATTCAATTATGTGAAATAAGTGTGCAGTAAGTTAGCTTAGCATGGAAGCCATTATTTATTTTTCTTGCCTGGTCCTTGTCTACCCATTAGTTGGTAGTAGGGACTAGGGACCCTTTTACTGCATCCTCATTTGATACTCTGCATGCTTACACTATTTGTTTCAGCTTTAAGCAATGTATAAGAAAAAGAAAAGCTGGACCAAAAGAAAGAAAAGAATTGAAAACAAAAGCGCATTCCAAGTTTCTCAAACAAGCAAAAAAAATAGCATCATATCTGTAAAATTTCTGTGTTCCCAAATGCACCACCACCACCATCCCTACATTAATAAGTTCATCTTTATATTATATATATTCTTTCACAAGCTTAGTTATAGCAATGAGTAAAGACCAACCACCGCAACCAATTTAACTACCTTTCATTCGATTGTGAAGGGCAAAAGATCCCTTGTAGATAAGAAGTGTGGTTTAAAATTAATTGATGTTAATAATAACTGGGGACTCACTTAGCACATGCTTGGATATGACAGAATAATGACCCGACTTCTCATCATTAAATTTGTTCCTTCACTGATAGATAGATAGATAGATATATACCCTCTTTCTTTTCACTTGATGAATTATTACCAAAATTCGTTTTGCAGTTGTCCTTCTTTACTGAACCAAATTGGTTTTGTGTCTCCATGCTTTTTCTTGATGCAAATATGCTACACAAGAAACTGATCACTTGTTTAGTTTTCAGGATTCAAACAGTGAAAAAACAAATTTTTGGGTATTCATCATTTATCATATATCGCATAATCTTTATGAAAAATGGAAATCAATGTTATAATTAGTGGGGTTATTACAATAATTCAGTTTACATTTACTAAATTCCATTTTTAGATCTATTAGTAGAATACTCTGTTCCAATTATTTTCCAAGTGTTGATATTAGCTCTGTTAGGCTTTTGCTTTATCTCAAGCCCACGAGCGAGAAAAAGTTCAGCCCTTAACTCGATGCAATAAAAGTTCTGATAGTTGGGCTTGAGTGTTGAGCCCAGGTCCAGATCAGTGTATTTTAGAAATGTAAAGTATTTTAATGTTACAAAGAATCCATTTGTAAGCCAATCAATCAGCCACTGTTAAAAAAAAATCATTCCGGATTTCATAATAGGCAAACACAAAGAAATGGTGGAAACCAGAATTCTACAACCATTACTCTCTACCAATTCAAATAATAACACATTTCAATTGCTACTGTCAGAATTTGCTGCTTCCCAGCAAAATGACCTGAATTCCAATACCGCATACTGATTAGGGATGCCTGCACAAATTTCATTTCAATACTATGCTCCGCAGCACGGATCGACCAGGTCTCTTGTCAGCTGGTAGCCTTGCAGTTTGATGGTCCTTGGAGACTGGTCTCCTAGAAGCAGGAGAGGAATATTTAGGAGGCTTTGTGGCAGAAGACGACGGATGATGATCCAACTGATGTTCCCTTGATCTTTTATAAGAATCATGATGCTTAAACTCATCTTGATGCCGGGATCTTCTATAATTGCCACGGTGCTTAAACTCATCTTGATGTTGGGATCTTCTAGAAGTATCACGATGATTAAACTCAACTTGTCGCTGGGATCTTCTGTAAGAATCGTGATGCTCAAACTCATCATGATGGAATCTTCTATAAGAATCGTGATGCTCAAACTCATCATGATGGAATCTTCTATAAGAATCACGGTGCTCAAACTCATCATGATGGAATCTTCTATAAGAATCATGGTGCTCAAACTCATCTCGATATCTCAGTTCGACATCCAAAAACTGTTCACAATGATACCGAAGTTGGTCCCTTCTATAAAAATCTGTCTCTAATGGAGGGAGCTCAGAGGCCAATGGCTGGTGCATAGAGTGGGGTAGAGGTGGATGTGCCACCGGAGATGCATACAGCTCCCTTCTATATTCCACAGGATCCACTGAATACAGCTGGTCCCGGGAAGAAGCAGGATGCCTTTCTTCCCAGACATGCCTATGACCATGGTAAAAAAATTCCTGGGTTTCCGCTCTTTCATTTTTCCAGCTTCTGCGAGGCCGTTTGGACAAATGATCCACAAATGTCGGAGCTTCGGCTCTTGAACTTTCATGCAACCGCTTTGATTTGGAGCCTTTGCTGGAAACTTTGAAAAGTTCGCACAAGGCTTTCACCTATTAAAACAATACAACAATTACACATAGTCACAAACAACAACGACATATAAAAGGAAGTCCTTGAGAATTCAAGCCACTAAATCCATAACTAAAAAAAAAAAAGACCTGTTTAAAGGTCAATTGACAATCGAACTTGTTCGTGCTGTAATAATTATCTTTGATGATCTTCTTAAACTTTTCCTCTGCTAGTGGCAAGCAATCCTCCAGAACAGTGAACCGTACCTACCACAAACAAATTTAAAGTTCTCCCTACAATTAGCATCCCAAACCAGGTTGAAGTGCTGCATAAAACTTAATACTTTAACCTAAAATTAGATTACAAGAACCAAAATATATAGATAATAATAAAAACAAAATTAAACAGAGGCATCCGGAATCCAAAATATATGTTCTTAGGATTGAACACTCAACGGGAGATATAACAGCTTTAACTGTTATCTAAATCACAATGCAAAAGAAAAAAAAAAAGGAAGGTACATTAATCAGATACAAAGGCACCCAAATCTTGGTTTTTCACGTTTAGATATTGACAGGAAATGAATGAGTTTAGTTAGACTATAGCAAACATGGGAGATATGCACAGTAGAAAATATGTAGAACAAATTAGAAGTTAAAGCTTGTAAGACAATAAGCATAGACATCGTAGTTTCACAACTTAGAAAACATCAAAGAGCAATTCACATTACTTACAAAAACAACATCAATGCTTATCAAGAAGCATTTAGCATTTACAATGTGATTTTACTTTTTGAAGTTTCATAAGCCAAATTTACATCCTAATGTGTATGGCACATTAAAAAGAAAAAGATTCACAGGGTTTTATCTGTTTAAAAGGTTTTGGCAAGACTACAAAAAGATACGGGACCTAGACAATTGCAGGACCACCAGATATTTAAATTCTGCTTTCTTAGATATAACTTATGTTAAGCACACACATTCAGTTTGCAATCTCTCAGCCCCTCATTGTCCTTCTCTAGCAATCTTCCATCTTCCAAGCCAGTTTTTCTCTACAATGTTAGCCATTCATACCAAAGTGACCCTACTTAAAGACAATGCAAACAATGCACTTTGTCCTTTAGTGAAACAAACCCCAGACACAAACTCAACTGCCAGCAATCAATTCATGACCTATAATAGGATAAAAATTGCATTTTACAACACATACATGAATTTATACCTACCTATGAACATAACTAGCATGATTTACATTAAGATAACTTAACCTTCAACACATAGGAGCTTGTCACACAAAGTTGATATGTACAAATCAAATGCCAACAATAGAAAAAATCAAACATGAGGTTCATATGCTTGAACCATTACTGATAACAGTATAATTGAAATGAAAAAGCACTAACCTGAGATGGAAATGCAGACTGGAAAGCTTTGGGCTCTATATTATAGCCACCAGGTCCTGCAGCTTTATAAATGCCATACATCATTTTCAAATCATAATCAAACAAAAATAGCCTCATTCCTTCATAAATTTTCAAAACCATGTCTCTCTTGTTAGCAGGCAACCCAAAAACATTATAATGAAAACAATCCTCCTTCGTCTTAGAACTGCACATAAATATCATCCCTGTAGTATTATCCTTCATTCTTGTCTTATTAGAAGATTCTGGATTCAGTCTTTTCTTGGCAACCACTTCATTTGTACGCCTCAAAGCCATCTTCTTTCTGCCTGTTTTCCTCAATTCACTCACCTTATTCTTGGAATTTCCTTCTGGTTTTTCTTTGTTTTTTGCCTCATTCCTTGAATCAACTTCATTCGTCACCTCCTTGTTCGTATTTTTTTCAAAATTCCTATCTCCTACTTCAAGTTCTTTTAGATGTTCAACCTTGTCCTGAATCCAAGGAACTGCATTTGATTCTTTACTGTTCATCTTCAAAGCCATCTTCTTTTTGCCTGCTTTCCTCAACTTCATTTGCCTAGATGTAGCTATTCCAGTATCAATATTGTCAATTATACCATGTCTGTTAGATGTAGCCGTTCCACTTGCAACATCATCAGTTAGATTGTTTTCATCATGCACTGATACCAATATAATTGATTCTTTGCCATTCATCACTGGATCTGAAGGAACCATTTCAGTATCAACATTATCGGTCACTCCATCCCCTTCCACTTTTGATATAGAGATAAGAGCACCCTTAGCTTTCTTCCTTGAAGGTGTTCTCTTCTTTCTTCTACCCACCTTGGTCAATTTCTTCTTGGACTTTGACTCATTTCTCTTGCCCCGAACTCCATGAACCACATTGGATTTTTGATCATTTGTGTTCTCAGGATCTGATGATACCATCGCTATATCAACATCATCCTCATCCAGCTCAGATAAAAGAGCATCCTTAGCTTTTACATAAGCCATAATCACCCTGTAGGAAAGAAAGGGCTTATCAAGGAACAAAGCAAGAGAACCTTTGAAAAAGAAACACGTATGAAACATAAGAGGAACCAAAGAACTTTAGAAGTCAAAGAATTGAACTCAAAAATCTTTTTGGTAAGGGTGGTAACACCAGTCCCTGCAAACTACGTAAGCAAGAACAATACTACTTGAAATAAACATCGAGTGATTTATTGAACCAAAGGGAAAACAACTAATCACTTAGACACTCAGCTACTGTTAGTGAAGTCCCCTATACAATCTGCCACAGACTCCATCATATTAAACAACTATGTTCCATGAAAGCAATGTCAGCACAGCCTGTATTCACTAACTCTCTAATGCCTAATTACTTATAAACAAGTGTTGGCTAATTCAAACTACTTTATTTTGTAAACTCAAAAATTGAACGTTGAATTATAAAAGCATCACGTTTAATGACTCAGACCTGTTTGCATAACACAATATGAGCAAGTTAAGTAAAAAAATTGCAAATAACTAACTGGAACAAATTCATTCCAAATGCGAGTCAAGTCTTTAAAAGCCAAACCAAGACATAGATGAAAATGCAATGAAAACAATTGATCGTGATAGAAACTAAAAAATCTATTAACTACAAATCAACAGAAAAGAAACATTACACTAAATCAGACAGACGAAGAAAAATTACAGGTACCTAGCAAATCATAGCCAGTGATAATTGCAGCTCTATTAAAAAAAACAAAAAGAAGTTCAAAAATTTGATAAAATGATAGTGAAACTGACCTTTAACGAAATGCTTAAGCGTAGAGAAGAGTGAGAGCGGATCGTTGCGTGAATCCTAAGGATTGAATACGATGCAGTTGACACTTGACAGTAAAGGAATGAGAAGAAAGTTATTTCTTAGAATGTTAGTTCATGACTTCAAGTTGACTTGGGAGAATCTTCGTGGACGTCAACTGAACTATGGGTATGGGCCGTCGGCCCACTCAGAAATCTCTCTGATGGACTATTCTCGTATTTTTGTACGTCCTTTATTTGTATAAATTTTTTTACATATACAGTATTATTAATAACCGTTAATATTCATATTAAAGATGACAGAAGATTAAAAACAAAAAAGAAATGATTATTGTTAATAAAAATTGTACTTTATTGGGAGGATTTTCATTTCAATTTCTCATAAATTTGAAACGTTTTCGTTATAGTATGTTTTGATGATTATTGTTATTATTATTTTTTAATTTCTGTATTCATATTTGTGGGGGATATCTGAGCACCTGACTGAAGAACAGCAAGAAGATCTATATAACAATTTAAGGGGATTGGAAAAATGATTGCCGGAAGAATGTACTTTACGGATACAGAAGAACATGTTTCTCTACAGATAACAAATGACTTACAACAAATTGTTAAATGAATCGGCTCAGGCAACCAATAATCTTCTCCTCCATGCTCTGTGTCAACTACAAAACTCAGAACATAGATCATCAAGCTTTGCAGGATTATCAGCCGCAGACAATGGATAAATGTTGCTTTTTCCAGAGCCACTGCATGTCAAATTCACTTCATTTCCAATTTGGGTCGACTGCAACAATCAAAGTCCATAAATACAAAGAATATATCCACAATGATTATAGAGTACTGATAATAAAAGCATATTACAAATGTAATTTTCTCTAAAATCATGGTTTTTTATCAGTTTAAGCTGCATTACATCCAAAACCCTCCCCTTGACTCAGGACTTCTGCACACATGGAGACTAAACAAATTATGTTCCAGGTTAAACAGTTAGATTGGCCACGTCCAGTGATAATCATATTACATGTGTCACTTCCTACGCTTTTTAATAGTGAAGAAAGACAAACAGAATATATTACTTCATTCAATCCCAAAATTTATTTTCGTAACTTAATTTCCTTGAGAATTTATAAAGTATTAGCTGCATTCTTATGCTCCATTAATAAATTTCCATACTTATTTGAGATTTCATCTTCTAAAAAAATTCCAGTTTAACAGCAATGCATCAAATATCTGTTGCCTACTTATCGTTCTCAGTATTCCAATGGAAGTTCATTTCGCAGCTTAGTCTAACATGAACACCACATAACGATAGGAAGTTCACGAACAAAATGAAAACAAGAAGAACAAGAGTGTTTGCCTCATTTACCTGACAATACACTTCTTGTGCTTTGCAATTCCATAATGAGGTAGGGATACAACTCATATAATGACACCGGGAACAATAATCATTCATGTTAACTCCACGGCTTAGCTGAACCAGACCAAGCGTAAATCTGTCAAAATTACAGATCTTCTGTTAAGAGAATTCTTTAAAGGCAGTAATAGCAAACACCCCAGAGCATGAAACTAATAATGACGATGACTTCCCAACTGGCTCATTGCATTTAATGATCGATAACTTAACAATGCCTTCTATTAACCATTTTGTGCCATCGACAACAAGAGATCCTTTACAAAAAAAAGGGTAAAACAAAAGACGAAAAAGAAAATAAAACTGATATACCAGTCTCAGCAATAAAATATAGTCTAGGAGTGGTAAGAGTTGAAGAGATCCGAAGAACAGTTTTATGAGCATCTCAAAAACTCAAACTAATACACAAAAGTAACTTCCTAGTAATGAGCCTATTTATGCACTTTCAAAGGTGCTTTTACGGTTCACTACAAGGAATAAAACAAGTTATACGAATTCAGAAACTGCACAAAAGGATTCCAGGTCTTACCCGACAATCAATAGTATCAGCGAGAAAACCCACAGTACATACTGATATGTCTTATGTTTAGACTTGACTGAAGTTACAGTGTATCCTGGAGGAACACTTTTTTGGCTAACCCATCCAAACTGGGGGCGGATCAGTAACACAAATCCAAGAAGAAAACCAGAAAAAAATCCTCCTATATGAGCAAAGTTGTCCACGTGTGGAAGGATTCCCATGGCCAAATTTACTACGATGATGAAAATGAGAGTCAGCATCGCAGCGAACTGCACACAAAATCCTTAACTGTAAGCTAATATGAAGATATGAAATATTTGGTAGAAATTTCTGTTTAGTTTAGAGGAACTCTTATGTACCTTATTTGCATATATGGTCCAATTAGCAATAAGCTCAGAAAGCATGGCTCCCAATAACCCAAAAAGGGCACCAGAGGCACCAACAGAGATACTTTGTTGAAGGAAAAGAGCCGACATTACACTCCCACCAAAGCCAGATATGACATAGAGCAACCCAATTCGGACTGTAAAGGAAAATTCCATAATAACTTTAGAACTTCAAACCAAAAATATTATTTGACTGAAGGAGTTCCACATGCAAGATCAAAAAACTGTTACGTCTTTTTCTATATATAGCAACCTCTTCTTTCAAACAGTTTCATCATAAAATGGAACAATTATCCAAATTTAAAAAGACTAAATAATAATTCACCAGGGATACATTAATCCTGCACCTATCCTAGGTTAACCAACTTGCTTCTTTTCTGCACATTGTTTTTGACAACCCTTATCTAGTAAAGTTGCAAGCCTATCAAATCATATTCAACGAAATTATAACAGGCGTATAACTGCCATAACAGGATGGGAAATCACTCAATCACTGCAGAGTTCTTATTTATTTATTTATTTATTTTTCCAACTTAATCTATTTAGAAGAATATGGTATCAGATACAAGAGGCGAGTAAAAGTATGCATGAGGCAGCCGTGTGATCCTAAAGAGAAGGTGTACACATCACCTAGGTATTTCAATATCACTATTATTATCAACTCTTGCAATGTGATTAAATAGAACTATAAAACTCAATCAACACAAATAAACAATGGCTAGCATGTGGTTTAAGTTTACAAAGTGTTTACATATACTTTAAACAGTTTTATCGTAAGATGGAACAATTATCCAAATTTAAAATGACTAAATAATAATTCACCAGTGATACATTAATCCTGCACCTATCCTAGGTTAATTACCTTGCTTCTTTTCTGCACATTGTTTTTAACAACCCTTATCTAGTAAAGTTGCAAGCCTATCAAATCATATTCAATGAAATTATAACAGGCATATGACTGCCATAACAGGATGGGGAATCACTCAATCACTGAAGAGTTCTTTTTTATTTATTTATTTTTTTCAACTTAATTTATTTAAAAGAATATGGTATCAGATACAAGAGGCGAGTAAAAGTATATATGAGGCAGCCATGTGATCCTAAAGAGAAGGTGTACACATCACCTAGGTATTTCAATATCACTATGACTATCAACTCCTGCAATGTGATTAAATAGAACTATAAAACTCAATCAGCACAAATAAACAATGGCTAGAATGTGGTTTAAGTTTACAAAGTGTTTACATATACTTTAACATTACACTATCATGTTTGATCTAAATAGGTTGACCCGGCCGGCATGCAACATTTAACATTTTGACATCAAATGTGTTTCGGAAGAAATAAAGTTTCATGCTTCAAATGACAGAATAAGTCATTATTAAAGATTTATAGGTAATAATCCTCCCTCAGTAACTAAGGAGAAACTAATTAAAGGCTTTGTCAACCATTTAGTCTAGAGATTATGCAAAAACAAGACAATTTCAATAACAATGAAGATGAGAATCTAGATGCATACCAAACCCAAATTCTTGTTCAAGCCGAATTCCGATGAATAGAAGACTCAACATATTTGTAAGTAGATGAAAAACCCCGCCATGCAACCACACGCAAGTTAAAAGGCGCCATGTCTGGTGTTGTTTTGTCATCTTCACTATTACCATAGCACCCATCTTCTCTAATCTGAAGAAATAGAAACATATAGAAATAAATTAGAGTATAACACATCAATTTTCATATATAATTACTATGTTCTTCATATGTATATTCAAACTTCATAAATTAATGACATTCAAAATTTTCAATAGCTCCAACAAAAAAAGTTTAAACAACATATGTTGGATGTACACATTCAGTAGCCTAGAGATAGCCCTCTGGCAAAATATCCTAGAACATTCTAGCTCAACAGTTTCACTTTTTCCCATATTCGTCGAGAACTAATAATCATGTAACACGAGAGGAATAAAGCCCAAGATCATCACATAGAAAGCGATTACCACCGGAAGTTAAAAAGCAATGCACCTAATATGAGAGAAATGACTAATTCCTAACAGAAGAAACCTGTAAACCATTTTCCATACAAAAAAATCTCCATATAAAAGAGGGGATAAAAAGGAGAAGTAACCATCCTGCAACGTCGTAAAGCAAAAAGGACCAGCAAGCATGATCACCCCATTCTTCTAATGTAATCCATACTGAGAACTGATCACATACTTCCTCATCTCATTTGTATACAAATAAAAAAACTTCGTATACTTCCAGATTAATAGCTAGACTAGTCAATCAAAAACTTGAATTAATCTGATTATTCGATAGTACTCCCAAACAATATAACTCTAAGCCACATATATAAAACAATTCAGTTTCCCAAAGTTTCACTAAGTTTTTAAACTCCATCTAATCCATTCCAAAACTCACTTAACAAATTTAGTTCAAAATCAAAGCTCTTGCTAAACTCCACAATCTTTGATAAACACGAAAATAATAGCTTAACGCCAGAAAATTTCTTCAAAGAATCTACCCCATACTTCCTCTACATGAAAGACAATTATCACAAAGGCCAGAAAACACACGACACACTCAAATCATTAACTCTTCCGAAGCATGACATGATGATATCCAAAAGTCTTTATGATCATTCACAGCCAGAAAATCAACAAATAAAAACATTAACACACTATCTCAAAAACAAATTAAAAAAATTATCTTAAAAAAAAAAAACCCCCGAAACTCACGTTTGAGAAGAAGGTCCAAGAAGCGGGTTCTGTTTCATAGGCTGAAACGAAAATCTCCCCAAAAATTTACCCAAACAAGAACTCCCAGTATTCTTCGGACAGTCATTAACATACATTGTAATTATAAACATAACAATGTTAGCTACAACGAACGCCGGTACCAGCCACGTACAATACCGCTTAAACGGCCCGAATTCGCCCCAATCATCCGCCTGCGACGGCCTCGGCATCAGAGACGGCGGCGACATTCCGGATATTGCCGATGCAGACGCTGATGACGGTGACACTCTTCTCACCGGCGTTCGTGATGTGGCCATCGTCCCCGACGTCGATGCCATGGGAGGTCCTCCTCCCGTCGGTTGCACCTTGATTTCAAGGCCACGTGGCGCATCTCTGGACATGACGGATCTTTCACTTACTAACAACAACCGTGGATATTTGAAAATCAGAAAAATGGATTAAAAACTTGTTGTAATTCCAAAACGAGAGCATGTTCAGCAACAACGAGAGCATCAAATAAATTTAATTAATTAATGTTAAGTATTAGGCTAAAATAAATCTTATTGATCTTAAATTTTTTTTTTATATATATATATACATAATTAATTAATTATTACATGATATTACTTGCTTTTGTTATTGCGGGAATTTTGCGTCTTAAAATTGACCGGATTAATTAAATGTATTTTTAAATAAACAGAATATTCACACTACATTGCGTCATTGCCAGTATTTGCCACCCCACAGTGACTCTAAAGATTCCACTTTTTTCTTTATTAAAAAAAATATTAATTCATGCTTGTTTTTCATAATTTATATTATTAATTATATTAATTTTTTTGGTATTATTTCGATATGAGGGATTTAAAAGATAAAAGGAAGTTGAAAGGGCAAGGTACCTAATTCAAGTTATGAATAATTGATGGTGCTATCATGTGACTTATGTTGCTTTCATTAGCTTTCTCAACTTTAATTATTATTATTATTATTATTTTCATGATTAGGTTTTTTAGATTAATTTGTACATACCTTAATTAATTCTTAAAATCTATTAAATATCTTATAAGTTTAAAAAATTAGGTAAATTATAATGTCTAAGGTTTAAATCTAAAACTTAAAAAAATAAGCAAACCTTTTTAAGGGTTGGGAAGCTAGAAACTCAACTGTAATTATTAATATCTAATAAAATTAAAATCATTGCACTTAATTATAAATTTATTTAATTTTTCTTTATGAATTGGGTAAAAGATAAGAGCAGAATATGCCTTAATTGGCGTGTTGTGATGACTCACCAATTCCATTTATGACTCATACTTGGCGTATTCTGCAATTGTGCCATGTTTGGATTTTCCTGGAAAAGCATTGGAAAAGCAATGGAACATATTGGAACATTAGTGGTGGGTTTATTTTATTATTTTGGATGAGATTTTTGAAAAAGATGAGTTGGGTGGTTATTAATTTAAAAATTAATAAAAATACTTTCTTAAGTTTGTTAATTTAGTTAAATATTTCTATAATAAAATATTAAAAATTAACAAAAACACTCACACTTACCTATTAAATACCGACAGTCGGCTTCCATTGCCGGAGGGTGTTCAACAGTTGTCATAATGGTGTACGACTGACTGGATTTGGTCGATCGTGTACCGATATGGCTTTTTTTTGCCAGATCCATTGTGGATCTGGCCATAAAGTCGAAAAATGCCAGATCTACGGCCATATTTGGCCACATTTGGTTTTCAACGATGACCAAAGATATGGACGTCGTTGACGCCATAGATCTAGCCAAATCCATAGTGGATCTGATCGGAAAATGCTAGATTGACGCACTACTAGCCAGATCAAGGTGGTAGTGCGCCATTACGCCATATTCCGACCACTTTCTGGTGGTGATGGCCGAAGTCTGACAAATATGGATGTGTAGAGGTGTTTTTGTCAATTTTTAAACTTATTTTTTTGGGGTGTTTAGTTAAATTAACAAACCTGAGGGGTTTAAAATAGTTGAATAAAATAGAATCAGATTTTCAGAATAGAAAAACAACTATCTGTTTTGGATAGGATAGAGATAGGATAGGGTAGAAATAAAGAAACAAACACAGCCAAGAGACACGAAGAAGAAACACTTACAAAAACAATCAGAAACCCAAGTTGTCATCTGCATTGGGCAGTAGATTAAGACGTTTTCCTAACATGGAAACTTCACTGCCCAAAGATATCAAAATCTTCCGGGATTGTTGCAAAAACTAATTGCTTTTAGATTGAGCAATTTCAGGATTCTTTATTGGAATGAGTTTGAGAAACCTAACAACAATGGTCACAATTGATAAAAGAGTTTACCAGACAACTATGCCTAACCCCTTTGCGGATGCTGGCGGCTAAAAAATTAAGATCCAGGATTCAAAGTTGCAATGTATATAGATAGTTTAGATGGATACGTTTTCTATAACAGCCACTTGAATCTTGAGAAGGGATGTTGGTTCAATCTTTAAAGAGTCTTTGTCAAGGGGATCCATTTCTACCCAAATGGGGAGAATGACATTTTCCCACCTAAGGTTTGGCGAAACGACACTTTCACACCCTTCAAGTTTCAAAATGACACTTTCCCACTCTTTCTTAGGTTTTGTTATGTTTTCTGGTAATGTTTTACTGAAAAGACTTAAATAGTTGACTTTATAAATTTTTTATTATTTTTTAATTAGCCAAAAAGTCAAATATTGAAAAGTAAAAAAAGATAAAATGGTTAACCCTACCTAAAAAGTTTGGAGTAATGTTATGAAATTGTTTTAAGTTAAATGATCTTCATATTTATTTATTTATTTATAATGTCATTAATATTCCATCACTATTATTCAATAATCTACTAAATATATAATGTTTTTCATGATATAATGTTTTTCATTTTTACTAATTAACATAAAAAATCAAAATTCCTAATTAAGTAAATAAATAAAAGAAAAAAATATATCTTTATGCTTGAACTAATAAATAATTGAGTAAAGACTTTGACTTAACTAAATTTTTATTTATAATAAACTAATTAAGAAATTAACTATTTAAGGGTATTTTCGTCTTTTTAATCAAATATTAATAGAAAGCACTAACAAAACTTGACAAAGGGTGAGAAAGTGTCATTTTGAAACTTAACAGGTGGAAAAGAGTCGTTTCACCAAACCTTGGGTGGGAAAATGTTGTTCTCCCACCCAAATGTGGCAATTGGACTTTTATCAGTGTGTCATTATTTAATCTTTGAGGGCTTAGTCAGAAGTTTCTGTGGCAGCTGTGGGCATTACCAAGTGTAATAATTGACCCATGCCACGCCCACCCAATTAGTTTCCTAAGGTCTTGAAGTTAATGGTCAAGTTACCCTTTATTAATAGTTGTAGAGATTCAAACTCATAACCTTTTGAGTAATATAGTCAATAATCCCAGGCGAACCACGTTAGATTTTTTAATCTTTAGAAGGAACTGTTTAGCTAACAAGTTTCTTATTCTCTATAACAAAAACAAAACCATTTTCTGTTAGAATTTTCCGACTTCTGTTTTACTTCTTTGCACCCCCGATAGTTTGCGGATTACAACAACTTTCACCAACTTAAACAATTTTCTGACCTAATGGTTAATTTTGCCTTTTATGTTTGTCATATAAGGTATGGCTATTTATCCTCTTATTAAATCAATTTCTGATTCTATTTTGAGATACGTAGCTAGGTATTTACAGCAGTTTCCTTACTAATATTCAATGGACGACAATCTAAAATGGATCCTCTTCCTTTTCTGAGTTATACCTTCCATATACGTCATCAAATTCTTAAACCCAAAACGGTTCCCATTTCTTGTTTTGGTTTTCCTGTGACATAATGCGTTCTAATTCAAAATCTTTGATGAAATATTATCATAGAACTNTCCATTGCCGGAGGGTGTTCAACAGTTGTCATAATGGTGTACGACTGACTGGATTTGGTCGATCGTGTACCGATATGGCTTTTTTTTGCCAGATCCATTGTGGATCTGGCCATAAAGTCGAAAAATGCCAGATCTACGGCCATATTTGGCCACATTTGGTTTTCAACGATGACCAAAGATATGGACGTCGTTGACGCCATAGATCTAGCCAAATCCATAGTGGATCTGATCGGAAAATGCTAGATTGACGCACTACTAGCCAGATCAAGGTGGTAGTGCGCCATTACGCCATATTCCGACCACTTTCTGGTGGTGATGGCCGAAGTCTGACAAATATGGATGTGTAGAGGTGTTTTTGTCAATTTTTAAACTTATTTTTTTGGGGTGTTTAGTTAAATTAACAAACCTGAGGGGTTTAAAATAGTTGAATAAAATAGAATCAGATTTTCAGAATAGAAAAACAACTATCTGTTTTGGATAGGATAGAGATAGGATAGGGTAGAAATAAAGAAACAAACACAGCCAAGAGACACAAAGAAGAAACACTTTAAAAAACAATCAGAAACCCTAGTTGTCATCTGCATTGGGCAGTAGATTAAGACGTTTTCCTAACATGGAAACGACACAGCCCAAAGATATCAAAATCTTCCGGGATTGTTGCAAAAATTAATTGCTTTTAGATTGAGCAATTACAGGATTCTTTATTGGAATGAGTTTGAGAAACCTAACAACAATGGTCACAATTGATAAAAGAGTTTACCAGACAACTATGCCTAACCCCTTTGCGGATGCTGGCGGCTAAAAAATTAAGATCCAGGATTCAAAGTTGCAATGTATATAGATAGTTTAGATGGATACGTTTTCTATAACAGCCACTTGAATCTTGAAAAGGGATGTTGGTTCAATCTTTAAAGAGTCTTTGTCAAGGGGATCCATTTCTACCCAAATGGGGAGAATGACATTTTCCCACCTAAGGTTTGGCGAAACGACACTTTCACACCCTTCAAGTTTCAAAATGACACTTTCCCACTCTTTCTTAGGTTTTGTTATGTTTTCTGGTAATGTTTTACTGAAAAGACTTAAATAGTTGACTTTATAAATTTTTTATTATTTTTTAATTAGCCAAAAAGTCAAATATTGAAAAGTAAAAAAAGATAAAATGGTTAACCCTACCTAAAAAGTTTGGAGTAATGTTATGAAATTGTTTTAAGTTAAATGATCTTCATATTTATTTATTTATTTATAATGTCATTAATATTCCATCACTATTATTCAATAATCTACTAAATATATAATGTTTTTCATGATATAATGTTTTTCATTTTTACTAATTAACATAAAAAATCAAAATTCCTAATTAAGTAAATAAATAAAAGAAAAAAATATATCTTTATGCTTGAACTAATAAATAATTGAGTAAAGACTTTGACTTAACTAAATTTTTATTTATAATAAACTAATTAAGAAATTAACTATTTAAGGGTATTTTCGTCTTTTTAATCAAATATTAATAGAAAGCACTAACAAAACTTGACAAAGGGTGAGAAAGTGTCATTTTGAAACTTAACAGGTGGAAAAGAGTCGTTTCACCAAACCTTGGGTGGGAAAATGTTGTTCTCCCACCCAAATGTGGCAATTGGACTTTTATCAGTGTGTCATTATTTAATCTTTGAGGGCTTAGTCAGAAGTTTCTGTGGCAGCTGTGGGCATTACCAAGTGTAATAATTGACCCATGCCACGCCCACCCAATTAGTTTCCTAAGGTCTTGAAGTTAATGGTCAAGTTACCCTTTATTAATAGTTGTAGAGATTCAAACTCATAACCTTTTGAGTAATATAGTCAATAATCCCAGGCGAACCACGTTAGATTTTTTAATCTTTAGAAGGAACTGTTTAGCTAACAAGTTTCTTATTCTCTATAACAAAACAAAACCATTTTCTGTTAGAATTTTCCGACTTCTGTTTTACTTCTTTGCACCCCCGATAGTTTGCGGATTACAACAACTTTCACCAACTTAAACAATTTTCTGACCTAATGGTTAATTTTGCCTTTTATGTTTGTCATATAAGGTGTGGCTATTTATCCTCTTATTAAATCAATTTCTGATTCTATATTGAGATACGTAGCTAGGTATTTATAGCAGTTTCCTTACTAATATTCAATGGACGACAATCTAAAATGGATCCTCTTCCTTTTCTGAGTTATACCTTCCATATACCTCATCAAATTCTTAAACCCAAAACGGTTCCCATTTCTTGTTTTGGTTTTCCTGTGACATAATGCGTTCTAATTCAAAATCTTTAATGAAATATTATCATAGAACTGGATGCTTGTTCAACTTGAAAACATTTGGGGATGCCATGCTGCGGAGAACGATGTTTGGAATGTGTCACAATCGATTCTGGTACTTCGTTTTCACATTATCTTTTTCGTGGGTATTCTTTCTTTACTTGTTTAGATCTTCTATGATGGTTAGCCCCAAGAATCATAATGTCACCTTGTTAGGCGACAATGGCGATGCCAGTTTTGTTGATTACCAAGCGTTTCGTTCTTCTCTTCGTTTGCATGAAATCCCTACTGCAGATATTCATAATATAAGTGGTGATGAACCCTCTAACGATACAAAAAACTCAAGTAGTCCTTATGAATATTTATCCATGAAGACGAGTGACTGGGTTAAAATTGCTGATGAAGTTTTTGCGTCTCTGGTAAAAGAAGACGGCAATAAAGAGATTGAAACTCAACCTATTGAGAAAGCTAGGGGCCGAAAGATTGAGAAGAAATCTAGCAAAAAGAAACAGGATAAACCGGTTAAATCATCTCGGATTGTGAACGAAACAACTAAACCAGTTGCCGAAGAATTACCTGAAAGAAAGAATGAGCCAGAAATTGAATTAGATTTTGAAGCCTGTAAGGGTCGATTCATTTATATTCCTCGTATTCCGAGGAGATTCAATGAAGACTTGCTGAGGCATTGTGATTCACTTAGTTTTTGGTGTAATATGTGTGAGTTCATATCAAACAAGGGTCTTGGTCCTCGTCTTCGAAATTCTGAGAAAATTTATTCAAACACAGGATGGTTTGCCACGAACCAATTCATGTTAGAGGTGATTTTCCACAACAGAATGAAACAGTACAAGTGTTTGACAAGTAACTCATCTTTGGCTTCAGCAATCTTTCTTCCATACTACCCTGGACTCGATCTCAATCGATACCTTTGGTACAAGAATACTATGAAAATGAAAGACATTGAGGCCCTTGAATTTGTCAAGTGGCTGAGGAGAAGACCTGAGTGGAAAAGAATGCATGGTAGAGATCATTTTTTGGTTGGAGGAAGAGTCTCTTGGGATTTCTTGAGAGCAACGAAGAATGACTCTGATTGGGGTAACAGGCTTTTGCGTTTGCCTCAAACTAGGAACATGACAATGTTGGTGATTGAGTCAAGTCCTTGGAACAATAATGACTTTGCAATACCATATCCAACATACTTTCATCCTTCAAATGACAGTGAAGTCTTGCAATGGCAAAACAGAATGAGGGAACAGGAGAGGCCTTTTCTGATTTCTTTCGTGGGCGGTAAAAGATCCAATTCGCATAATTCAATAATCCGAAATGAAGTCATTGATCAGTGTCGTGCCTCTTGGAAATGTAGGCTTATGGAATGTAGTAAAAGACAGAACTTGTGCTACGAGCCAATCCAGGTTATGAAGATGTTTCAAAGTTCTGTGTTTTGCTTACAGCCTGAAGGGGATTCATACACCAGAAGATCAACTTTTGATTCCATTTTGGCTGGATGCATTCCTGTTTTCTTCCATCCTGGTTCTGCTTATGTACAATATACATGGCACTTACCAAAGGATTATACTAAATATTCTGTGTTCATACCGGACATTGATGTAAAGAATGGCAAAGTTAGCATTGAAAGTATACTGGATAAAATTCCAGAAGAGAAGGTATCAGCAATGAGAGAGGAGGTGATAAGGCTGATACCAAGGGTGATATATGCTGATCCAAACGGTAGATTGGAGAGCCTTGAAGATGCATTTGATATCACAGTAAAGGGTGTTCTTGATAGAGTTGAGAAGATCCGGAAGGAAATGAATGAGGGTAAGAATTTGAGTACTGACATAGCAGAGAGATTTGCTTGGAAGTATAATTTGTTTGGGACAGTAGGGAAACATGAATGGGATCCTTTCTTTGTACAACCAGAATAATATGAATATGAGCAGTCGGAGGAGAGTTAAAAGAGAGCAAATAGTAGTTGTAGTTTTGATTTAATGTAATGTAGAGTATTCCATTTTTTAATACTGTTATTTCTAAGCATCGATACTGGAGTTGTTAATCTTTCAAAGCTGGTTTTGTGTGCATTCTGAGTTTGGCTTTTTGCTTATGTTTGTTGCTCTGTTTACTTGTTTTGATCACATAACAAATGTTGCTTATTTGTGACTGAGAACTCTTCCGATCTTAAGTCTTGTTTTAACTTGAACAATCCCTGTTTTGACTAGTTGAGTGTAGGAGTGAAAATCGAGCCGAGCTTAACTCGATTTTGGCTTGAGCTACTCGAATACTTATTCGAATCGAATTCGGTCAAGATACAACTCTACTGGAAAAAGCTTGATTAGAACTCGATTAAAGTTCAAATTTTAATTTTAAGTACGAATTCAAGTTCAAACTTGATTCCTTAGGCTCGAATTTGAACTCAAATTTGATACTGTAGTAATCAATTCGAGTTTGAGTATTTAGATACTCGACTTGACTCGATTTCACCTCTAATTTGAGATTAAACTGAGTGTAATCTCAATATTAGGGTTGTGGGGCAACCCAAATGCAATTCTACCCCAGCCTGCTCCACCCCATTCCTTAAAATTCAACATTGGGGTGGGTTGGGTGGGATATATTTGGGTTGTGTTTTCCCCAACCCAACCCACTTTGAATCAATTTTATACTTTTGTTATAAATGTTTAACATTATTATTATAACATATTTTAAAATATTTATTTTTGGGCATAATTATCACTAATATTGTCATAAATAATTAAAAAAATATATATATTTTTATCTCTACAGTTGATTTTAGATTTATAAGATGACAAATATATCTTATATCATTTTTACAAAATAAACTTAAATAGGAATTTAATTTATTAAATAAATAATTTGATAAATATATAAATACATTAGAAAATATTCAATCAACTGCAGGTCAACCAGCAATCACCACCGCCATCGGTCAATTGCAGGTCAACTAGCAGTCAACACCGATCAAGTGAGTATATCAGTATAACTTACATGTTTTAACACTAAATTTCCACCCAAATAATATAACAAATAACAACCAGTAATGAGCAGGAAAATATTCATAAATTCCCAGTTTTGACTAGTTGAGTGTTTTTGCCACCCAAATAATATAATTTTTTTATAACAAAACAATGCAACATTAGAACGAAATGTACACGACATAATTTAATTTTTTTTATATTATTAATCTTAGCATGTGTAATAGAGCGAACCATTTGACTTCTTTATCTCGAACTTATTAAACGGGGGTGGAATGAATCGTGAGTTATCCTTTGTAGTCCTTGTGGTTTCGATTTATTACCTGTAAGGACAATTGTTTCAAATACTTTTTAGTCTTTATCATTTCAAAATACTACTGTATCAGTCCTTTGACTCAATAAAAGGTTAATTAACTATTAAATTTATATTGAAATGACAAAAATACATTCTTTTAAAGTTATTAAAATTTTATTAAAAATTGATATATAAATGAATTTTAAAAGAGGTTTAATAAAATTATACACACACACACATTTGAAAATCAAAATTATATAAATCTGATGAATTTGTAATCTATAATGTGTTTATTTAATTTAGTGTTATTTGTGCAAGTAATTTTTCATTTTTTTTTTTTTCTAAAAGGCGCATTTTTATCCTTTCATTTTAAATTTAACAATCAATTAACGTTTTATTAAATTAAAGGTGTAAAACAATAGTATTTTTAAACGAGAAGGATCAAAACTCCTGTATTTGAAACTATTGTCCTTCACTGTAGTAAACTGAAACTATAGGGACTACAAAGGAGTGAACTCAATGAACAATGTACATTTGTTGTTGTGATGTGGTTCCTTGACTATGTTGACTGTTTTTTATATAAAAAATAAAAAAATCATTTTCTTTTTCCGTTTTAGGATTTGTTCGATGATGAAGAAGGAGAGGCAGCCAACCAAGGGATGAATTTTTTATCATTATGCTAATAACAAGGATTGCTAATAACAAGGATTTCTAGTCATTTGTCAAAATGGTCTACTGGCTGAACGTTTTGATATTGAATAGAAGATTTTTTTTTTTTTTTTTTTTGGTAACCAGGGTATCCGAACTAGCTTGCGTGCACCTCAGCTAATCTCCAGGGTCTATTGAACACCCTACAAGCCTAAAGGACCAGGTAAGTCACAAATGTAGCAACTCCAAAGGGTTAGATTGGCGGTAAAAAATGTTTGCCCATTTCATTAACTTCCTAGATTCCTAGGCTCGAATCTTAGGGTCATCTACCACATTTGTGACTTACCTTGGAACTAGGTCTATCAGACAAGCCGAGTAGCTTGCGAGCCGGCTCGACTCGACTAGTCTAAAGCTCTTTTAGGGCTCGACTCAACTCAAACTCGGTTAATAAACCGAGTCAAGTTCAATCATGGGGGGCTTGTAAGCTCGCAAGCTTGGAGTGGCTCGCATAAGTAGGGTCCTTTTGTGAGTTTTATAAACCATGTAGGGCTGAACTGTTATATTGCAGTAAAAAAAATGACATTTACCCCCCTAAGTGCAAAATAGTAAAACGACATTTACCCCCAAACCTAGTTAGCAAATATGGGTACGGCAAAAAAAGGGTACAGGTATGATACGAAAAATGGTGAAAAATAAGTTTGTAAAAATTCAGTCATAAAATTTGGATACGGGAAAAATACGGTACCGGTATATACGGGTTTAATATGGCACATTGTCAATAATACATTTTAAAAAATACGGTAATATCAATCCTGGTTTTAGCACTTTTCATGGACCACCTAGTTAAGATCAATATAGCATTTCATTGTCTTTATTGTTTCTTGTTACACATGTATGTAAATCACTATGGGTTATTATTCTTATACAATTTCTTGTTGTTTTATTTGTTTAAAAATTCTTATTAGGTATGCAATATGGATAAATTTCTCAAAAGAAAATCAATAATAAAACAATCATCCTCATCTGTCTAAGAAAATAAAGCCAATGATAAAGAAAATGATCCATTAAAAGAAAGTCATGTAGAACTAGAAGCCATCTTAAAAGATCTTCCGTTTGATCCAGCTCTAAAACCTAAAATCAATCATTATCATCCTAATTATAGGGATCCAATTCAAAGATTTTACTTGCAAAAGAGTTGTTGCCAGCCTCGAAATCATGCATTTCCACTGACCAAATTTAGAAAAGGATATCGTCAATTTAATCCTGCTTGGTTTGATGTGTATGGCGATTGACTTGAGTATAGTGTGACCAAAGATGCTGCATTCTGCTTGTATTGTTATCTTTTTAGACTTGCCATTATAAGCTAAGCTGGTAGTGACGCTTTCATTAGTGAGGGATTTTGTAATTGGAAGAAACCAAAACGCTTTCAAATTCATGTTGGCTAGCAAATAGTGCTCATAACCAAGCACGACAGAGTTGTGTGAATTTAATGAATGAAAAACAACATATCGAAGTGGCTCAGTCAAAGCAATCAAATCAAGTTATGACTAAATACCAAACTCGCTTGACTACATCCATTGTTTGCATTAGATTTCTTTTGCGTCAAGGGTTGGCATTTCGTGGTCATGATGAAACTAAAGACTCGAAGAACCAAGGTAAATTCCCCAGACTTCTTCATTTTCTAGCTCAGCACAATGAACCTTTTACAAGTGTTGTTTTGAAGAATGCACCTGGAAAACTTAAATTGATAGCACTAGTGATTCAAAAAGATACTGTGAACACTGTGGCAAATGAAACCATGAAGGCTATCATTAGTGATTTTGGAGATGACATATTTTCAGTTTTGATTGATGAGTCTCGTGATGTGTCAATTAAAGAACAAATGGCTATTGCCATACATTATGTAGATAAAAAGGGTCATGTGCTTGAGTGATTTCTTGGCATTGTACATGTTAGTGACACAACTGCAATATCACTTAAGATGACTCTTGAGTCATTATTTTGTAAGCATGGATTGAGTTTGTCAAGATTACTTGGATAAGGTTATGACAGGGCAAGTAATATGCAAGGAGAATTTAATGGTCTAAAAAGTTTGATTTTGAGGGAGAATGAATATGCTTATTATGTTCACTGTTTTGCTCACCAACTTCAGTTGACACTAGTAGCCATTGCAAAAAATCACATTTCTGTTGCTTTTTTTTTTTTTTTTCCAGCTTGGTTACTAATTTGATAAATGTTGTTGGAGATTCATGTAAGCGTCGAGACATGCTTCGGGAGAGCCAAGTTAGTAAACTTGTTGAAGCACTAGAAATTGGTGAAGTTGGCAAGGGACGAGGTTTGAATCAAGAGACAAATCTAAAACGAGTTGGTGATATGCGTTAGGGCTTGTATTATTATACATTAATCAACTTAATTCTTTTGTTATCCTCTGTGGGTGATGTGCTTAAGGTTATTGAAGAAGATGGTTTAAATCCTGAACAAAGGGTTAAAGCATATAATCTATTAGATTTAATCTATTCCTTTGATATTGCATTTAACTTACATATGATGAAAAGTAAATTGGCAATTACTAATAAGTTGTCACAAGCATTGCAAAGAAAAAAATCAAGATATTGTAAATGCTATGGCCCTAGTCAAAGTTTCCAAACAACGGTTACAACTGTTGAGAGATGAAAGATGGGAATCTTTGTAGAGTGAAGTTTCTTCATTTTGCCAAAAGCATGATATTGCCATTTTGAATATGGATGATATGTTTGCAATTCGAGGGTGGCCACGACGGAAAGTTGAGCACATGACAAATTTGCATCACTATCGAGTTGAATTGTTTTATACTATGATAGATATGCAACTTCAAGAACTTAACACTCGTTTCATTGAGGTTAGCACTAAGCTACTTCTTTGTATGACATGTTTAGATCCAAGTAATTCATTCTCTGCTTTTGACAAACATAAGTTGATCAGTTTTGCCCAGTTTTATCCATATGATTTTTCTGCACTTGAGTTGATGGTACTTGAGAACCTGGCT